TTCCCTAACAAAATGATCCCCATCTTTGTCCCAAATATGTGTTTTTGGCCTCCCCGTACCATTGTGTAAAGCGCAGAACACATCCTTTTTAGGTCTATTTCATTCTGTGGTGGAAGGGTGCTGCCAATTCTGAAATAGCCAGCTGCCCCCAAGAAGTCCAAGCATGCCCTCCAAGATTTCATAGGTGAAAGTGGGACATATGTCACCAATCAACACCAGAGTGTTGAGAAAATGTATTAACGAGAAAGTGTATGCAACCTACTTTTTGAATCGCAGAAAATGGCAACCAAAACAGCACAATTTGAGTCATTTAAAGTTGCAGAGAGCCAAAAAATCTGGGTATATGTTTCTCTAGGCTCTGGAGTTTGTCCACCCATGTTTTGGATATGTAGATGTTTTAGATATTATTTTTGTGATGTTGTTATTGGTTGTTGGGATTCCTTCTGGAAGGAAGGGGATGGTGAAAGAGAAAATATACAATAAACAATAATAACCCTTCACACTTTGTGTGATAGCTGAGGCTGATAGAGCTACCATGGCATTTGGAGAATTACAAGTTCTCCACTCTTCATGCAGAAGTATACTTTTCAACAGAATTCAGAATCAATCAGATTGTTCTTTTAAAAAGATACAGCATTAACTCTTTCCAGTGAGCAAAGCTTGCAACTGTGCAACTAGGTTATAATTCAAGTTTTGCTGAACAAAGAACAAAAAGTGCTCTTGGTTATAACTTACAGATGAATTTATGTATTTCTTTTGTTGTAATATCCTATCATGTTATATCTGATATTTATAATGGTTCTGAGTACAATTGGCAATTATAATCTCATCATCCTATCCACAGGGAGAAAAAATGTTGTTGTTTTTTAAGGAAAAAAACCTCAGAACTACTGATAAATCTAAGTCATGTTCCTGGTTGGATTGTAGTTAGACATTGATACATTCCTAATACTTACTATTTGTTATATGAAACTGTCCAAGTATTTAATAATACTACTACTAATAATAATAGTANCAACAACCATTCAACTCCTTGCATTTAACTTTGCTACAAAAAATGGAAACAATGGATGAGACTCATGTTTTGGTTGGTTTGGGAGGAGGGATAAGATTTCTGGTCATTTATCTCTTTTCAGTGGCTTTGATATAAACTTACACATGGTCAGATTAGACCTAATGAAGTCAATTACTAGAGATGTAAATATGTAATGGGTATATAAATACTGTTTTCAAATTTTCAAATAATGACCACAGGCAATTTATGTCATTTTGAAGCAGACGGTGAAAACAATGAAATATGTCAAGCTTTTCCATCATTACTCAGCATAGTGACTGGAATCAAGAAATCAGCATAAGACTAGGACATGGAAGGATAGCTATTAAGGAACTAGATAAGATCCTGATGTTCAGAAAGATTTCATTGATCATTAAAGTCAGAATTATCCATACCATCATATTCCTTATTTCTAT